GCATCAACACACTGGAGACACTGTGGCAGTAAGGGTAGCAGGGGTGCCGTGTTTCGCTTACCTGTTGCCCGAGTACATTTGGATTGGGGAGTGGGCGCTAGGCATGTGGATGTGGGGGTGATGAAGGACTTGCCCGCAGATGTTCTTTTGGGAAACGATTTGGCCCCTTTGGTTTCAGCCTATGCTCCGATGGGCCCTGCAGACGTGAACCCAGTGACCACCCGTGCCCAGACCCGTGCTGCCGGAACCAGCCCACTTGCTGACGAGACCCAGGTAAGATCTCCTTCCCCGACTGATACCCCAGATCAGGTCCCCTTAAGCTGGGATTCCCCAGAGGAGTTTGGGAGGGAAACCCGGGCGGATCCGACCCTCCAAAGATACAAGGACAGGGCAGAGGCTGGGGAGGAAGGAATAGATGGGGAACGGTATGAGTGGGTGGGGGACAGGTTATATAGGATCCCTAAACCTTCCCAGAAGAGTGTTGCCTCTCCGCCGAATCGCCAGTTAGTGGTACCTGCAAAGTACCGGCAGGAGATTCTGCGGATAGGGCATGATGTTCCTTTAGCTGGACATCTAGGGTCCCGCCGCACAGCCTATAGGATTTCACAGAACTTCTTTTGGCCAAACTTTAACCAGGCTGTGCGGATGTACTGCAGCACGTGTGACACATGTCAACGGGTAGGAAAGCGGGGGGACCACCCTAAGGCTAGGCTATTATCGATGCCTATTATAGGGGAGCCCTTTGCCCGCATAGCCGTTGACATTGTGGGTCCACTGGCCAGGGCTAGTCCATCCGGTAAGAAGTATGTTCTTACCGTGGTGGACTATGCCACCCGCTATCCAGAGGCAGTAGCGCTGTCTAACATAGAGGCAGAGACGGTTGCTGATGCCCTGGTTAGAATTTTTACTAGGGTCGGGTTCCCTAAGGAGATCCTCTCCGACCAGGGAACCCAATTCACCGCTGTGCTCACCCAGCAACTGTGGAAGGTGTGCGGCATTAAGCCGTTACTTAGCTCACCCTACCACCCACAGACTAACGGTCTCTGCGAGCGCTTTAACGGTACCCTCAAACAGATGCTGAGGACCTTTACAGACACTTGCAGAGACTGGGAGAGATTCCTGCCTCATCTATTATTTTCTTATAGAGAGGTGCCCCAGGAGTCTACTGGGTTCTCCCCCTTTGAGCTGCTGTATGGGAGAAGGGTCCGCGGACCCCTAGATCTCATTAGAGGCCACTGGGAGGGGGAGACGGAGCAGGAAGGGACCCCCATAGTGCCATATGTTCTGGAACTCCGGGACCGCATGGAGAAACTGTCCCTGATGGTAAGGGAGAATCTCCAGGCGGCCCAGGGGAGACAGAAGAGATGGTACGATCAGGGTGCCCGACAGCGGGTCTTCCAGGTTGGGCAAAAGGTATTGGTGCTTAAACCTGTGAAGGCCAACAAGATGCAAGCATCTTGGCAGGGCCCGTACAAGGTAGTGGCGCAGATCTGCGACACTACTTACTTGATAGCCAGCTGTGCAGATGAGAGGATCCAGCGGTCCTTTCATGTGAACATGCTGAAAGAGTACCAGGAGAGACCTGAGAACATTGCAGCAGTGTGTGCCCCAGCTGCAGATGATTCTGAGAATTTACCCCTTCCAGATCTATTAGAAAGGGATTCCCAGACTGACCTTACTACCTTGGTACAGCTAGGGGACCGGTTGAACCCCACAGAAAGGGTACAGGCGCAGCAGTTGTTATGGGAGAAGCAGGCGACGTTCTCCCAGGAACCAGGTTATACCACCCTAGCTGTGCATAAGGTAGAGACCCCTGGACAGACCCCGTTACGACAGCCCCCCTACCGTATCCCTGAAGCAGTCCGTGAAGGAATGCGGAAGGAGATACAGGAGATGACCCAACTTGGGGTTATCGAGCACTCCGACAGCCCTTGGGCCTCGCCTGTAGTCCTGGTGCCAAAGAAAGATGGGACCACCCGGTTCTGTGTGGACTACAGGCGACTCAACGAGCGGACCACCACTGACGCCTACCCAATGCCCCGGGTAGACGAATTACTAGATCGTATTGCCAGGGGGCGATATCTGACCACCATAGACCTGTGTAAGGGCTACTGGCAGATCCCCCTGGCCGAGGATGCTATCCCCAAGTCGGCATTTGTCACCCCATTTGGCCTGTACCAATTTAAGGTCATGCCTTTTGGGATGAAAAATGCACCGGCTACTTTCCAACGGATGGTGGATAGACTCCTGGATGGCTTCCAAGAATTTGCCTGTGCATACTTGGACGACATTGCGATCTACAGTGGGTCCTGGGAGGAACACCTGGTACATGTAGGGGTAGTGCTGGATAAGATTAGGGCCGCTGGCCTGACGTTGAAGCCAGAAAAGTGTCATCTAGGTATGGCTGAAGTGCAGTACCTGGGTCACAGAGTGGGGTGTGGGAGCCAGAGACCAGAGCCAGCCAAGGTAGAAGCAGTGGCTAACTGGCCCACACCCACTACTAAGACCCAGGTATTGGCCTTCTTGGGGACGGCAGGGTACTACAGACGTTTTGTCCCTGACTACAGCGCTATCGCTAAGCCCCTGACAGACCTGACGAAGAAGAACTTGCCTAAGCAGGTCCTGTGGTCTCCGGCTTGTGAAGCTGCGTTCCAGGCACTGAAGCAGGCTCTTGTGAATGCCCCTGTCTTGGCTGCCCCAGTCCCTAACAAACGCTTTCTCGTCCATACAGATGCTTCCATGTATGGACTGGGGGCTGTGCTGAGCCAAGTCGGGGAAGATGGAGGAGAGCACCCTGTCGCATATCTCAGCAGAAAGTTGTTACCCAGAGAAGTGAGTTATGCGGCAGTGGAGAAGGAATGTTTGGCCTTGGTCTGGGCACTGAAAAAGTTAAGCCCCTATTTGTATGGGCAAGAGTTTTCCCTTGTGACTGATCACAACCCACTCGTTTGGCTTAACCGGGTCTCAGGAGACAATGGGAGACTGCTGAGATGGAGCTTGGCACTACAGCCCTACAATTTTACCATCAGCTACAGACCCGGTAAGCTAAACGGAAACGCAGATGGGTTGTCACGACAAACAGACGTTTCCATCACCTCGTAGTCCGGTCATCCCCAAGTTGACCCGCCACAGGGTCAAGCCGGGTCTGCCGGAGTGTCCCACAAGGAGGGAGCCGTGTGACAGAACCATCTGTCTGCTGGATTTTTGCCCGTTCGTCTGTTTGTCCCCGTTCGTATGAATGGCTGGTTTCTATAGCCCAGCCATTCGAATGACTCTTTTTCCCGAACAAAACCGCCGAACGAACGGCCACCCAAGTGAGGAGTGTGCTGCAGGTTAACGAAGTGATCACCATTATAACGTTGTGGTTAACCGCAGACACTTCTCAATTAAACCGAACTCAGGGTGGTCGTCGTTCGTATGTCGACCACGAGGCAGCGGCCATTTTAAATCATGCGAACGCTCAGCGGTGTTTGGCTCTATTTCTATGGAACGGAAAACGGACACTTTTTCTGTCGAACACCGCTGAAACAAGGGAACGCCTGGCTGCCTCCACGAAAGCATGCGAACATCGGCCGTTCGGGAGATTGAGAACACACAAAAGACTTAACCCAGATAGCCCACCCATGGAGTCATTCGTGTACCGAAGGACTGTAAGAACTTTGACTCCATGGCGATTGAACTATGTGTGTGGGATCTGAGCGCTATTCGCCAATAATATGCACTCAGATCCAGGCTATCTGGGGACATGTAATACGAATGGGAAATGTTCAGTCTTCATGTAGTTATGCATTTTTGTGTCTTTTATTATTTCATGTTTAAGATGGCGACTGTCCTTGTCCTGGAGTTAATTGAGTTACTTGGTAATTAACTCCAGGACAGAGGGGAGGGAATCAGAATGTACTGTGGGTAAAATATGTGACTGTGTGTCAGAAATGTCCTGCTATCTGTCTGTACTTTAAGTCTTCCATTTGGTCCCCTAGGGGAGTGTCCACCAGGTGGGAGACCTGCATAAATACGGGCAGGTAGCCCACAGTAAACCCAGATCTTATTTGACCCTCAATGCGGAGCTTCTGTCTCGTTATTGGGGGGATTTCTTCTTCACGTTTAGAGACTGCTGGATGGAACGAAAGCCGCTTTGGGGATATTATTGTTCGACGGTTCCTAGCAGTTCGTATATTGCCGTTCGGGAGTTTGGAGCCGTTCGTGGATTTCGATCGGGAGATTGCCGCTTCCCCTGCATTTGGTTCGTGGGTTACGGAGTAAGCGAACAGAGACTGTACTGCAGCCGGGGAAGGTTTACTAAACGGCGGTTTGGCTTAAAGACACGGGAGGTGTCTTAACAGTGACTAAATGAAGCATGGCTTTCTGGCCCAAACCAGTTTCAGAGTCTTCTATCCTGGAGATAAGTAATTCAATTATCTCCCAGGATAGACACAAGACTCCATTAAGCACATGGTTGCAAAAAGACACAAAGCACTTTAAAATACATAAAGTCACATTTATACATAAAAACACAGACATTTCACATATCCCCAGATAGCTCAGGTCTGAGCGCACATTATTAAGTGAATGGCGCTCGGACCACACAAATACAGTTTAATCACCATGGAGCCAAAGTCTTTACAGTCAGTTTCATACGAATGGGCTCCATGGGATTCCCATCTGGGGTATAACACATTCAAACAAATCTATTGAAACCCAGGCAGAAAAGCACGACTGAAGCTTTTCTGCATGTAAAAAAGATGTCTTTTAACAGGGGGCCATAGTCCAAAGGCAGCAGGCGAGCAACCAGGCTTCTCCAATGCAATGTGGCGAGATTGGTTTCGTCACAGTCAGTTTTTCCAAATACAATACTTAAGACCTAATTGCTATGATTGCATTGACATCCTTGGTCCTTAAGTGGTTAATCCCTAAATTTGAAACTCCTGTATATTCTAGTCTGAAGAAATCTCTCATCAATCTTTCTTTTTGTCCGTCTAGCAGGGGAATCGCTCTGAGAGATGGCCTTGTTGAAGAGCGGCTGGTTGTGGAGGCAAAGTAAGTGTACATCTCACTTTATGTTAGTAATAAGAAACTTCAGTATTTACATTTGAAGAAATGCTGCAAGACTTGTGGTCTGCTAAGGGTTAATTGTTGTAGGAAAGGACTACGTTGTCCTTCTTTCTATAAACCTGTTAACGTGTTTGTGTTTATTTATTTCTTTAGTTTGACCTCCCACATATGACCTCTGTAGGCTTCATTAATCTATAAGATTTTCAGTTACGAGTTACTAAGAGAGTTACCCGTTCTGATTGCTTGTAGTGTAACCTGACGGAATTAGACCCTAGTACCAAATCTATTTTATTTTTACGGCTTTTCTTTTATTCGTGAAAAGTAACACTGGCCCTCTAATGCTTGTATATTCAATGAGCAGTAGAGAGACTCTCTATAGATGGGACAACCCAAGCATTCCGTCTCTTTACTAAGCTAAAGTTGCATTAGGGCTCACTTGTTAAAGATTATGAGGGTGACGCCATTTTATTGTCTCCATCGTAATGTTTAATTTTGGCGAGGATACTTCCCTGATATGGGGTGATTGGCATCATCCGCAGGCTCACTTTAATTTGATAGCCACCTTTATGGGTGTGATGAAATGTTCTACGTTATGACATGTTTGTGGACCCAGGACATACTTGAAAACAAGAGAAATCTCAATGTATCCTTCCTGGTAAAATATTTCCAATGTATCCTCCCAGGGATTACATATTCAGGAAGTTTGTCATGATGTCAGAGAGAGAGGAACTGGGAGCAGTCACACCTACCTCATCCTGGAGTAGTCTGGACTCCCTGACCCCACTAATAACCGAGTGTTTCCCTACACAGAATAACTGGAATAAGTCTGGGTGGTTCAATGACTTCACGTGTTGATCTCACAAAATGTTAAATGTTTTCATGCGCATCCTGCAGGCTCCATTTTGAGGCGCTGGAAGAAGCATTGGTTTGATCTGTGGATGGACGGCAGTCTGGTTTATTATCCAGATGAAGCACGTGGAACCTATGAAGAGAGACTCCTATTAAAGTTTCATTGTACAAATATAAGGGCTGGTGCGGAGTGTGACGGTGAGTCTGATGGTGGATTGATGGGTGAAGCCTGAGGATTGAGAGTTGGATGGAGTTAAAGGTGTTGAAGTGATGGGTGGTGGAGTCATGTGCGAAGTCTGCAAGAGGAGTGATGGATGGTGGAGTGATATGTGGTTGAGTGATGGTTGGTCTGCAGGTGGAGTGCAGAGATGGCTTGTGGTGAAGTGTGGGGGGCAAAATGGGCACATTGGGCATTAGATAATTACCACCACCAATTTTGGAGGGAAAAAAACTCAACCTTAATATTTCATCTCCCGGGATTTATATTAACTTCACAATTTCAGGTCCATTCCTTACAATGGGATAGTTCATCCAACTCCATACATCGTTATACTTGCAGAGATGTATATATCTAGGTGGGGTCTTTCTGAAGTACATGTAGCTGTGTGTGACCCCCGTTCACACTGTTTTTCAGATATCCAGCTACCAGAAGGCGGTTCTCGGGATGCTTTGGTGATGTTACAGATGCGAGATCACAGGGTATATTTATGTGCAGAGAGCGAGGACGATGCGGTGTGAGTATGTCCATGGGTTTTATTGGGGGGAGGTGGTTCTTCACTAAAAGAGATATTATAATGAATTGATAAACAAATAGCTCACTTGTGGCAAAAATAGTCAAATGTGACAACACCTGAATCGGACAATGTTTCTGAATCTGTGCTACAAGTGACTACATTTCTCTGTTCAGTTTTGAATTCACTATAATTCAATCTTTATTGAATAATGTCTGTGTTACACGACTTATTAAATGTATTTTAAGTTCAAAAACTGTCCCAATACCACCACTTAGTGAAGTAAATTTCTCTGACATTGCCGTTAATAACCAGAATTGTTATATAACAAGGAGTTGTGTTGAGGGGTGACAGTTCTGAGCTGGGATGGGTAAAGTAGGATTAGTTAAAGATCCGGACAAATTTAAGATATGAAGATTAAATAAATCTCTCTTCCTGGCATCCACCCCTGGACACTGACCTTCAGAGACCTCTGACACTTTCAGACAGTACTTCTAGCCCAGGGCTTCCCAAACTTTTTGAGACTGACACACACGGCAATGAGAGACAAACATCAAAGACATTCCTGCATTACTTTCTTTTTACCTTCATCCTTGGCTTATAAATGTCACATTAACCTGACATCTCAGTCAAGAGATGTGCATATTCATAGCCAATT